GCGGGGCGGCTCCGCGGCCGCTTCCCACGCCCGGGCAGTCCCGGTCCCGGTCCTGCGGGAGCCCGGGCTGTTCTTAGGCTGCCCGCGCTCCTGGCGCTAGGAAATAACCCCCAACTTGCGGTTAGGAGGAGCCTGGAAAGGCTTCTGGAATGAGTAAATTAATTACAGCCCCGGTTTATGTCACATCCGCCGAGAGCACGGAGGGAGTCCCGGGACTGAACTCGAGATTGTTGCAACTTTGTGCGGGATTCGGGTGTCGGGGAGGGTGTCACCGTCGTGGAGGCTCCAGCACGGTCCCCTGGGCTTTCCCGGCTGGAAGCCGCTACGGGCTGAGATGTCCTTCCTTGCCCTTATCTGCAGAGGTGTCACTGTGCTCCGGACCCCCATGCCATGATCACAGCCCGCAAAACCTGGGATCTGGGATCCGGACCCTCTGCCGAAGCCACCTGGAAGACGAAGGACCTTCCGGCGGCCGGTGAGTACGGAACGGGGGCTCGTCCGCTCCTGGTGGGGCTCTCGCTGCCGCTTTTGTGCCCTTGCTCACGCCCGGGAAGGAGAGGCTGGGAACAGGCCAGCCTGCATTTTTCACATTTCTTTACGGATGAAGCACGGGATTTGAGAAGCGGAGACTCAGAAGGGGGCACAAAGCGGTAGGCAGCCATGGCGGGGGGTGGTGTAAGCAGAGAGCTGCCTCCATCCCCCTCCTTGCCCTTCCAGGAGCTTAGGGAGAAGGTTAAAATTTAACATGTAAGGAGAAGGGAGCAATACGCCTGACAGGGGGGAAGCAGGGCCTTGGCTTCTTCCCGGCCTGGACTCTTTGGCAGGCTCCGTGTCTCTGCCTGCACGGATCCCATCGGTGGGTCTACTCGAGGGCTTTTCCCGGCAGCGGCTGAGCTGCTGCTTTGCAGGCAGGCGGGAGGCTGCTTGCCACAACCTGCAGCCACTTGTCGGGAAACAGCCCTTCCCACCTCCTTGCCGGTGGTGCCAGATGGGTTTCTGCAAAGGAGCAGACTGAAACCTCCCCCCCACCCCCTCCATTTTGGGTTTTTTTGCTGTTGGCTTGAGCATTCACCATCCGTATGTGCTGACAGCCAGTTATCTGGGTGCCACTTCTTCCCTGGCACTTGGACAAGCCCAGACAGAATCTTGTTGGCATCAAAGCCTCCAAAAATGGGGTTCTTTAGTGCTTATTCTGTCTGGCAGCTGCCACTGCCTGCACTGGGATGGGGAACTCACACTTTGTATCCAGGCATCCACCAGTGCTTTGGAAGCAGTTGATTTTCCCAGGGCAGTCAAAATGTTGCGGCTAATTCCAGGGTGGGAAGAAGTCCAGAGCGATGGACTGACTACACGGGGGCACATCTCCTTCCAGATGCTGCATGCACTTCAGGCTCAAGAGCCTCTAGACGATTTTAGGGAAAAAAACAAACTATTAGTGATGGGTTTTTTGTGGAGTATTGTTTTTTTCTGTGTCTGCTGGAGAGCCATTTGGCTGCCTGTGGTAGTGGTAGAGCTTGTGGCAGGCAGATGGGAAGGGCACAGAGTCCCTAGGCAGGTCCTGTTGGGATGTAGCCACATTTCTCATGGCAGAGCCATGGGAAAAAGCTCTTCGAGATGCTGTTTTCCCTCTGTGCGGTTTGGAAGAGCAGGGAGCTGCTGCCCTGTCTGCTTTTGGCTTTGGCTGCATGACAAATAAAGGAAATATTTGGGGGCAGTGGAAGGAGGTGACACTGGCAGGGTCCGTCCATCCGGTTTTGGTGATGCAAGCTGGCTTTGGCAGCTTTTCTGAGATAGGATCAAGGGAAGCAGAGTGGCTTGGGGGGTGGGGGGGGAGGGAGGGATATCCCCAGTGCTGGAATGCCAAGGGCTAATTTTTCTAATTAACCTAATTAACATTTTTAATAAAACTCATTCACTGTTTCAGCCGTGCCAGTGCAGTGGGAGGAGGTGGGTTTGCTGAGCAAGGCTGAAGGCTGTGTCCATCCTGGGCTCCCAGGTTGGTGCAGTGATGCTTTTTGCTCTGCCTCAGGCCACAGGCAGGACCTGCTCATCGCTGGGAGCGGAGCGGGCGCTGCACCCCACCTGCACGCGCTGCTGCTTCATCGTGACACCCTCAGCGTGAGCTGGGCCAACACTGCAAGCCCTGGTAGGCTCTGCCTGGCTCTCCAGGTAAGCATTGTGGAGCCAGCTGTTTGGGTGGGGAGGACATTTTTGGGCTGCTGGACCACCCCTTGGTAAGGGTTGGCTGATCTCCCTCAGCCACATCCAGTTTACCCAGCACTGTATGCCTGGAGCAGAGCAGCTGCAATTCGGGTTGGAAAGCATCAAAAGTTGCTGGGGAACAGCCCAGAATAACAGTTTCTGCATCACTTCAGAATAATGTAGGCAGGAGAGCTCAAGGCAGAAGGGTGGTAAGAGCATGTAGTGCCCAGAAATGGAGTTTGCTGGCAGGATGGAGGAGAATGAGGAAAGCTATGGCAGTGGGCAGAGTGTCAGGATACTGTGTACTTGTGTTCCTGCCGCCAGTTCATGCTGGGCAAATCATTTAAATTCTCCTGCTTTGAAAAGAAGGAAAATACCTTATCTCACCCCAGCCTGGATTAATTTCCTCTGGCAAAACCCTTCCAGAGCCTCAAATGTAGAGGCATGGCAGACACACAGCTTTTCCAGAGGATGCTGCTCCTGTGAGATGGGTTTCCCTGGCATTGCCTGCTCAGGAAGATTATTTTTTTCCCTGGCCAGCCTGGTGACTGCCAGCTGCCACCATGTCCCCTGCCATGGGGAGCTGTATCCCAGCTCTCCATCCTGTTCCTTTTTGTGGCCACAGGCCCTGCAGGAAACAGTGGGTGAGCGGCTGAAGGAGACCAGGCACCAGTCCCTGGCACCAGCCATGGAGGAGCTGCCGGTGTCGCCCCGGCAGCTGGCACCTGCCACACCAGCAACATCCACCATGAACCTAGAGAAAGCAGGTACGGGAGAAGGTGGGATGTGCTGGCGGGTACTGGAGGAAGGATGTGATGGGATGGGCACCCAGTTCCTGCCGGCAGGTACTGGGGAGACCTCTCCTCTCTCAGGGTGCACAGACGTGGCTGTGGGGGGTTGGGTCATGGTGGGAATCAAACACGAGGCAGGTGCCAGGTGACACCAGGCTTGTGATGAATTATTTAACCAGAGGAGCAGAGCAGGTGAGCACCAGCAAACCCACTGCTCTCTCCTCCCTGAGGAAAATGCAGCATTTGGGGAAGCACTCACAGCTGCACCAGGGTAGGTGAATCCCTGTGGTTTCCCATTCTTCACTGGGCTTGTTGGGGTGCATCCCAGGAGCTGTTCCTGGCCTGGTCCCTAGCAGCATCCCCGGTTTGGGGAGGCTGGTGGGAAGGGGCAGGGATGCAAGAGGCAGGAGGCTGCATGGCAATGGTAATGGGGCAGAGCCATGGATATGGCTGCCTTTCCAAATGGTTTTCCAAGCATTGTGCATTATCTGCTGTGCCCAGAGCCCCTGGGGGTACATATTATGCTGGTCCAGCTGCCATCTCCTTTCCCAAGGATGCTCTTGCAGAAGGAGGTTGTTGGAGCTTGTTCTCCATGTGAGATCACCTCTGCCCAGCAGTTTGAGGAGCAGCCAGTCATGGCCTTGAGCCTGACTCTGGTCCCAGCACAGTCCCAGCGTGGGTGAAGGGTGCAGACACACAGGGTGTCCACAGGAGCCCCGGTGCCTCCTGTAATCTTATCCCTGCACACTCTCTAAGCAGGAGAGCTGGCCAGCCTGCTGAATTTGGGAATTTTGGGGTGGGTTTTGCATATGTTGGGTTTAAAGTGAATGTCACAGTTCCCTGCCTGAGTTGGGCTGAGCTCTCTGCATGTAAAGAAAGCTGGGGCCTGTTGGTGCTGTTTCAGGGTATCCAGCCCAAGGCAGGCTGATGAAATCCAGTGATCACCTCTGCTGATGTTGCTGGATAAGTCCCAGCATTGCATTTTTTGCCCACTCTGCTGGCTCTTTGACTTCTTTTAAAGACCGAAAGTCTGATTCACAGACAAAACAGTCTTGTTTCTTGTATTCAGGACGTTTTCCATGAAGTAGGCAACATCTGCCCACAGGCAGCAGAGCACTTCCCAGCATCACCTCCTGCCTCTAAAACCTCAGGTTCCTGGTGGCAGCAGATGAAACCCAGAGTAGGCAGGAAAGGGCGCCGAGCCGCCATGATCCCAGCCACTGGTTCGCCCTCTGCGGTGCCTCATCCCCACGTTGGGAATGAGTCAGGCCAGCTCATTTCTTCTTGGGAAGGACCAAGTCATTTAGGGATTTATTTGGTAGGCTCTGATCTATGGCCAGGTTGGCTTCTGGGGGAACAGAGCCAGCACTGGTGGCTCTGTTAACATGCAGAAAATGATTTTTAAAATCATACTATACTAAGAAGGTCAGAAAGCTGAACGCAGAAGGATTAGGCAAAACAGCCATTCAGGGTACCTGTGTCATTTTAATTTGCCTTCCATTATATTTGCGGCTAACGCTGCAGTCTTTAATAACATCATCACGTCCTGGTTTGTACCAGCACCTGCTCATTCAGAAAAAAGGCTGTGAGGATGAATCAGCACCGTGGTGAAGGCAGTTGTTACCTGAGCGGAGCAGCAGCGTCTTAGGGTGGGTCACAGGGCAGTGGTGTGGGCAGGCCCCATCATATGGCCTAGGATGCTCTGCTGGCATTAGCAGATCCCTTCAGCTCCCACCTGTGCAGGGGTCACCCAGGCAAACCCCACTGTGGTCAGCACCGTCGCTTTCAGGATGCACCTCCCAGCATGTCACTGCTGTCTGTGGGGCTTCTACAAGTCACACTTCCCACCTCAAGCAGCTCCTGGGGACCCTTCCCATAGCTAGCATCCAACAAGGTGTCCTGATGCTGACTGGCTCCATCTTTTTTCCCACTGCAGGAGGCCGGCTCTGTGGTGGGAAACGCTCCAGCCTGCCAGCCAGCCAGCCCTTCCCAGTGATCCAGAAGGTGATGGTCTCCATGGCGCATCTGCAGGAGGAGAAGCTGCGGCTGCAGGAGGAACTGCTGGGGCTGCAAGAGAAGCTCACTGCCCGTGAAAGTGATGAGCTCTCCCTCTCACTCCAGCTGCAAGGCCAGGTACAGTGGGGACAGGGGAATATGAGGGGGTCTGTCACAATCCCCAGCTCTGGGCTTTGGGTTGGCCAGAATGCCGTGGCTTGCAGTTAGCCAGGGGTGTGCTGGGAAGGAGGATCTCCATCCCAGAGTACCTTCTCTGCTCAGGTGTGTAGGGATCCTCCTGGGTACCATGACCATCCCACCAGCATTGTCTACACCTCCCTCTGGTTGTCACAGTCCCCCAGTCAACATTACGGTGACACCACAACAATGCCAGCAAAGGTGTGCAGCTGCCTGGACACGATGTGTCTGGGAGGGGATTGGATGTCAGGTCAGAGCCCTGTGGCAACAGTTTGTCCTCCAAGCACAGGATCATCTCATTAGACTCTCCCAGCAGATTCACTTTAGTCACTTTGGAGTCAGGAAGTAAAAAGCGAACATGAAGGCACAGTTGTCTGTGAAAGGGGAGAACATTTTGGCCACTGCAGCCAGAATCCCTCCAAAACCATCTCCTGCGCTGGTGCAGCCGCATCCCCAGCACAAGTACTTGGGTCATTGAAGGACCAGGGAGATTGAGGTTCTGGCTGCTCGTAAAGGGATTTGCATGTGGCTGTTGTGGAAGCTGTTGCAGTCAGGTTCGGCTTGTTCCACGGGTGTCAAAAAGGCGGAGGTAATTGTCCTGCATTTGTTTGGCATACTCGGCATGACACAGGCATGAGCTCTGGCAGGATCCAGCCCTGAACCGGCCAGTTTGGCAGCAAGCGCTGCCGACACCGGCCAGAGTGAAGTGCTGACCCCAACTTCCAGAGCTGGGGGATGGCTGGGCCACGGCTCCAGCCAGATCCAGCTGCCAAGGAATCTCTGTCTCCTCCAGAGAGCAGGATGTGGCCGGAGATGCCTGAGCAGGTAGGGGCTGGAGGTGAATTGGTGTTTTTGGATGGTGCTGGCATGGGGAGCTGGGGCAGGCTCCAGCGCGTGAGTGCTGGCTGGGGTAGCAGCTTCCCTGTAGCAAGCCATGACTTTGTCTTCTCGATCCCTCCCTTTTTTAAAAAATGCTTTTAAAAACTATCTTAATGATCTCCCTCACTGAATATGGAAATGGGATTCTCCCACCCAAGCGTGTGCTTGGTGCACCCTCGACCCCACAGCCAGAGCAGAGGAGCTGGCTGGGGAGGGAGGGGGTTTCTGGTGCCAGCAGGGAGCTGCCACCTTCACCAGCTCAGAGCCAGAAATGCCCAGAGTCTCCCCACGGCGCCCCTGGCTGTGCCCCCCAAGCACAGGGTGCACAGGAGGAGCTGTTGTCGCTGCAAGGGCGTGGCTTAATAAAATATCCTCCTTCATTCCAGCGCCGTGTCAGCATGTCTGCAGTTGGTATTAATCAGCAGTTCCTAAATTATGGCCCACAGTTGCTTAGGAAGAGCTAGCTATTGGGATGGGGCAGTAGTTGCTGCATCCCAGTGAGGTGTTTGGTGTTGTGGCGGGTTCCGGATGCTGGGAATGCGGAAGCCAGGCTGGAATCTGGGGGAGGATGGTGAAGCGCGTGGCCAGGTCCGGCTCCCTCTGGGGTGAGTTTTGGGGAGACAACGATGTGACCCAGTGACCATCGGGGTTTGGGCAGGGGGAGGAGGTAGGGTGCAGGTGGGTGATGCCTGGAAAAACACATCCCCAGAACCCACTGGCTTTACCAAGCACTTGCCTCCACTGCTCATTTGAATAACTGCATAATTTTTTGGGAACCCCGGTGGTCCCTGCACAAAAACCAGGAGGATTTATGAAATCTGCCTGGTTCTGCAGGGAGGGCAGCCTGGTTTCCAGGGGATGGTACTGGGATAGGGGTGGTTTAGGAACATCTAATCGGACTCTGAGACGTGGACTTCTCAAAGAGCTCCTGCTCCATCTTTCTCCCAAAATAACTTTCCTAGAAAGAAAAGCAGAGAAGGCAACAAAGCAAGGGCAGGACAAGGTGCTTCTGGCTCTTTAAATAAAATTACAGATGGGTTTGTTTTTTTCCTTCTCCAAAGATGATGCTATTTTTTTTTTTTAATAATGGTTTCTGCTGATGCTCAACATGGACAAATTATACCCATGGTCGAACAAGGTCAAAGCAAGCCTTTCATTAACACTCATTTTAATCAGTTCATGTGAATCAGGTGCTCAGAGCAAGGTGGAAAATTAAGACATAAGGACGGTGCGAGCCAGACTGGACGTCGGTGGCCTGGGTGGCACTGCAGGGACTCCTCTGGAAGCTGCTGAGGTGCCTCCTGGTTAACCCTGCCTGTGTTGACAGGTGGAGACACTGAAGGGGAAGCTTCTGGAGCAGGCACAGGAGATCAGCCGGCTGCACTCGGAGCTGGTGAGCTGCCACCTTGGGAGCATGGAGCTGAGCCACCCTCACCCCACAGGGCGCCAGAGCTGTGGGTCCCTGCGGAGGGAGAGGGCACATGGCAGGGGGATATTGAAGGATTAAAACCTCCCCAGAGTCAAAGTTTGACCCTGCAAGCCAAGAGAGATACATAGTGGGATGAAAACTTGTGGGAATTTCTGTCCCACACAATGTAACAACCAGTGACACTGGGGCACAGTCAGGGGGGAGCAAAAGCCCCTCCTGGGGGCTGGGGGTTCCCTAGGGCAGCAGAGTGGAGGTCCATGGGTACAGTGGAGCTCTCTGGAATGGTGGGCTGGAGCTCCAGGGGTGCTGCAGACTGGGGGGTCCCCAGTGTGGCAGTCTGGGGGTCCTGGGGGCAGCAGGCACCATCCCCTCCCTGGCAGGGTGGCACGGACACGGAGAAGCACCGGGACCTGCTGGCAGCAGAGAACGAGCAGCTGCGGCAGGAGATGAAGGCCATGGAAGGGGAGCTGCGGGAGCTGCGGCGGCTGCCGGCACCGTGCCAGGACTGTGCCCACCTCCAGGTGAGCTGCGGCGGGGGCAGGGGGGTGGGCACCCAGGGGTGACGGGCACCCAGGGGTGATACAGCCTGGGCTGTACTGCTGGGGACCAGGAGAACACTGAGCTGCAGGAGCAGCTGTCCCAGCTGCAGCGGGAGGCAGAGGACATGCGGGCCAGGCTGGCCGAGCTGGATGTGGAGGTGCAGCAGAAGACCAACCGCTTGGCTGAGGTGGAGCTGCGGCTCAAGGACTCCCTGGCTGAGAGGGCAGAGGAGGAGGAGCGACTCAGCCGGCGGCTGCGGGACAGCCAGGAGACCATCGCCAGCCTCAAGTCCCAGCCCCAGCAGATAAAGGTGAGCATCACCGGGCTCTCCCTGTCTTCTGGCTGGGCAAGGGGAGCAAGGCTGGGCACCCAGCGGGTGTTCTGCAAGTACCCTTCAAGTGCCTCTGCCCTCAGCACATCAGCTCAGCACTGTAATTTTGTAAATTAGTCCCCCTGGAGCAACACCAGCTCCATCCTGGGCCCCTCAGGTGCTTCTTCCTCAGTACACCCCATCTCTGGGTGCTTTTCCTCCCCAGTATATCATCAAAACGGTGGAGGTGGAGTCAGCCAAGACAAAGCAAGCCCTATGCGAGAGCCAGTCCCGAAACCAGTACCTGCAGGAGCAGGTGGGGATGCAGCGGCAGGTGCTGAAGGAGATGGAGCAGCAGCTGCAGAGCTCCCAGAAGACGGTGGCTCAGCTCCGAGCTCAGGTCTGAGGGTGGCAGGTGCAAATCAGGAACCGCTGCAGTTGCTGCCAGCACGGTGCTCACTGGGTGATGCGATGTGGTGGTGGGTGGTCACCAGCTTGGTGTTCTCCCCCCCTCCCCAGATCACCATGTATGAGACCGAGCTGGAGCGAGCCCATGGACAGATGCTGGAGGAGATGCAGGCGATGGAGGAGGAGAAGAACCGTGCCATCGAAGAAGCGTTCTCCCGCGCCCAAGTGGAGATGAAGGCAGTACACGAGAACCTGGCAGGTGAGGAGGAGCTGGGGGACTCACGGGATGGCCTGGCTCATGATGGGGTGTCATGTTACCTGCCCCTCACCCTGCCTTGTGCCTGCAGGTGTCCGGACCAACCTGCTGACGCTGCAGCCAGCGCTGCGCACCCTCACCCATGACTACAACAGCCTGAAGCGGCAGGTCCGCAACTTCCCCCTACTCCTGCAGGAGACCCTGCGGAATGCCAAGGCCGAGGTGAGGCCCTCAGCAACACCCCTCCCAGCTCCTCCCTGTGCAAGGTGGGGATACTGGGGGTCACTCCAGCCACTGGTGCCCATCCATCCCCCCCAGATCGGCCAGGCCATCGAGGAGGTGCACAGCACCAATCGGGAGCTGCTGCGCAAGTACCGGCGAGAGCTGCAGCTCCGGAAGAAGTGTCACAACGACCTGGTGCGGCTGAAAGGTGCAGGTCCCATCACTGGAGAGCATGTCCCTGGGAGGGGACAGGAGGGGGAGGGAAGCATCACCCTGCTGCCTGCCAGCACCATAGTTGGACTGCTCCATGTTCCCATAAGATGCTGGGGTGGGCAATGGGATGTGTCAGTCAGCAGAAGGACACGGGGTTCAGCCACGAGGTGTGTGAGAGTGACCAGGGGTGACAGCAGCATGTGCCGGGGCTGACACCACCTCTGCACCCAACTATCCCAAGGAAACATCCGTGTTTTTGGGCGAGTCCGCCCCATCACGAAGGAGGATGGTGAGGGCCCAGAGGCAACCAGTGTGGTGACCTTTGACGCTGACGATGATGCTGTCCTGCACCTCCTGCACAAGGGGAAGCAGGTCTCCTTCGAGCTGGATAAGGTCTTTCCACCACAGGCATCCCAGGAGGAGGTGGGTGCTGCCATCCATGCTGCCAGAGTGAGGGGAGGGGACACAGCCACTTCCTCCTGACCCTCCCCATTCCTCCCCCAAGGTGTTTCAGGAGGTTCAAGCCCTGGTCACCTCCTGCATCGATGGCTACAACGTCTGCATCTTTGCCTATGGGCAAACTGGGGCAGGAAAAACCTACACCATGGAGGTGAAGTTGCCTGTCTTTGTTTCCCTGTTCTTCCCTGGCTTCCTGTCCCCTCGTGCCCAGTCTTGATCCCCTCCCTAAACCAGGCTGAGGTCCAGCTGGTACCAGTGTGTACCAGTGATGGTCACTGCTATTGCCCAGAGG